AATAATAATAATAATAATAATAATAATAATAATAATAATAATAAAACAAAAGAAATCATATATATTACCAGATTACCCTTCCACCATAACAATTCAACACCAAATTTCTGTTTCGTATTTTCTTCTTTTTTTTTTCTTTCTTTCCAATCAGTACATGATAGTAGAGCACAGATGATGTCTAACCGATGGATCTGCATGATGCCTACCAATCCACCATAGCAGATGGTCAACCATCGGACTATCCCACTTTACTGAACGGTTTTCTTCACCTTGCACTGTTCTCATCTTGTTCTGAAGATATTCCAAGAGCATTTCTGATGCTACTAGTGCAGCCACACGAATGGATGTCTCCTCAATGCCACCTGGTGCTAAAAGTATTCCTTCGTCTACAAGGTTAGCTAAATATGTATTGTACTCAATCATTCCAAGTAAACGAAGTGCCTTTGGTATTTGATAGTCACAGCAAACTGTAAGTTTATCCCTATCATGGAAGGCTCCAAACTCAGGAATTGGAAAGTCATATTTTTGAGATTGTACAATGGAATCACACATGTGAGTAATCACATCATCAATTGCCAACGCCGTGAGTTGAGCAAGTTTTAACACAGGAACCTCTATAATAGTTTCACTATTATTTGTATTCCCCCTCTGCAAAATACAAATGTCTTTATATCGTGGATGTAAATGGATGAGTTGGGCCAGAAAACCACGTGATGGTGTATCAGGGTGATAGAGATACCCTTGACTGCGACACCAGATACCATAGAATGAATCCCCCTGTTGCTGCAACTCATGGGCGATATCAACAAGAATTCCTATACGCGTGTGAGTGGCAGGCATCCACATTGGTGTCTCTGCCTCATCTCCAGCGTGGCCGAGAAAACAAGAATAACGCAGCGTTTCTCTTCTCTTTTCTTTTTCTTCTTCTTCTTTTAAATCTCTCAACAAAAGCACCTCCGGCCGGTGCCAGTACACCCCTTCCTCTTCCACTGCTCGCCGTAGTAAATACACCATCGCTGCTGATCCCCGCAGCAGTCTTCCACCGCCAACACCAACGCCCTTTTCGGCATGCGCGTCTTCTTCTCCCACCGGCATTGTGACGTAAAATCCACAGAAATCAGCCACACGGGATCCCACCGGTGTCTGCGTCTCACCATACATATCATTAGCACCCCGCTCTCCCCAATGGCGAAAGTCTATCGCAATCAACATGCCCAAATAGTTCACCACTTCTTCCAGATTACCACGGAGATTCATCGGTACTGTAGAGAGCCAATGGGATGAAGTTATCTTTTCTTTATGGAACTCACTTAAATATGTGTTTAGTAAATTTTTAAAATAAAGCTGCTCAACACATTCAGTAACATTTTTTACTGAAACGTAAGGGGCCACACAGTTTAGAACGTCTTGTCTTATGGGGTCCCGCAAAAATGATTTTACTGTGCCCCCCTTCATTATAAACTACAAATCATTTGAAGAAGAAAAAAAAAAAAAAAAAAAAAAAAAAAAAAA